ACACACACACACACACACACACACACACACACACACACAATCAAGAAGATGAAGAGGCTAAAGTCAAACCAAATGGGTTACTTGATAATAATGAATATAACTATAAATAAAAGTATCCAAAAACATACAAATTAAACACTATTTAACTGGCTCACACATTAAAGAAAATGTGCCAAGAGGAAATACAAATATATGTAGTGATATAAAAAGGAAAATATCAAATTTGGGGGGATCAGAATTAAGGTTATAACCACGGTTGTGGAGAGGGGGCGGGGAAGAGAGAGACCTTAGTAGACAAAAGATAAGCAAGGAATGATAGCATATGCCTATCCCAGCACTCTGGAGGCAGAGACAGGCAGATCTCTGAGAGTTCAAGGCCAGCCTGGTCTACATAGTGAGTTTCAGGATAGCCAGGGCTATATAGAGAAACTCTGTCTGAAACAAAACAAAAAAAAAAACAAAGAACTCACAACCAATCAAACAAAAAACTTTGATATTTAAAAAAAAAAATCTTAAAAGAAGAGGTGCAGAGTTTGAAATGGAGTAGTTAGTAGGAGGGGAGAAACAGATGGGTTTGTGGTTTCCAGAACCAAGTGATAAAATGTCTATGGAGAGAGACAGAGAAACAGAGCTGAGGGGGTGTGTGTGCCTGTGATCCCATAAGACCAGGGTTGTAAGATTATCCCTGCCTATATAGAGAGTTGAAAGCTAGACTGGACTAAGTGAGACCCTGTCTCAAAAAAACAAACAAGGGAAAACCAGAGGGGGGGAGAAGGAGGCGGAATTTGAGAAGGCAAGACAATCATACATTGAAGGGACAGAGAAAGGAACCCCTAGACAAAGAAGAGTGTGCAGTATCAAGACTGAAGAATAGAGGATATGGTAATATCTCACACTAAGAGGTCAGTGAGGAGAGGCTGGAGAGGTGTCCATCTGATGTGGGGCAGTTCATGGGAAGCAGGGGACACTCAGTCTACAGTATTCTCCCAGAGGGTCAGCTATGGAGACAGTGGATACCAACTGGGTCAGTAGGTCCATTTGATCATAGAGTGATTCCCCTTTCAGTGTTACACTGTGTCATTTTGAAGAGATGGGTGGAGAATATCTAACTTTTTACCTGTGCTTAGGAAAATACCATTACTGTCAGCTGGGAGCTAGATTTTTCTCTGAATAGTTTTTGATACTGTAGAAAATGAAAACTGGTCTTAACATACCAAATTTTATTTTGTTTTGGATTTTAAAGATTATCCATCGAGATATAAAGCCTGAGAATATTTTAGTCTCCCAGTCAGGAATTACGAAGCTCTGTGATTTTGGGTTTGCAAGGACATTAGCAGCTCCTGGAGATGTTTACACAGACTACGTGGCCACACGCTGGTACAGAGCTCCAGAGCTGGTGTTGAAAGACACCTCCTACGGAAAGTATGTATACTCTGAGAACCCACCTGGCCTGTCCCAGGTGTGTCATTCTCCCTCTGTTGTTGACACTCTACCCTCTGTGTCTGCCTCCGGTCAAAGAAAAGGGACACCTTTAAAGGTACCAGAAGCCTCTGTGGCACCTGTGCTACTGCAGCCGTGCCTGTGCTCACACCTGCGGGTTCAATGGCTGCAGCTGCTGGAGGCCAATGCTCATGTTCTGACACTGTATCCATGCTTGCTTTAATCTGTGTTGTAGCCTCTGTTGTTGTTCTGCTCCTGTGTTCTACAAAGATTAAACAATTTTATATTTTGTTTATTTATGTGTATGGGGCTTGAGGCATGAGTATGAAGGTTAGAGAACAACTTCCAGAAATCAGTTCTTTCCAACTCTGTGGGTCCCTGAGATCCAATTCAGGTTGCCGGACTTAGTGCCAGGTGCCTTTACCTGCTGAGCCATCTTGTCGGCCTCTCCAAAGACTCTGGAATAATTTACTGTAATTCTGTGTTGAAATAGGATCTACTGGGGCTGGAGAGATGGCTCAGCAGTTAAGAGCACTGACTGCTCTTCCAGAGGTCCTAAGTTTAATTTTTAGCAACTACATGGTGGCTCACATCTGTAATGGGATCCCCAATGCCCTCTTTTGGAGTGTCTGAAGACAGTGACAGTGTACTCACATATGTAGAATGAATAAATAATAAAAAACAAAAGGAAGAAAAGAAATAGGTTCTGCCAAGTTTCCTGTTTGTTGGGAAAAGTGACACCTTCCTTATAAAGACTGAAAGTAATGATTTTTTTTTAAAATTGTGCTTGCTGTTCTAGATTGCTCATTAAGGATCATGGTCTCACAATTAACAAATATCCTACAGTGAAAATGTGTAAATAATACCACTTAAACATTATTCCTCCCAGACCCCTGGTTTTGAGATTGTCTTGCTGTTTAGCTGTGGCTGGCCTGGAAGTCAATATGTAGACCAAGCTGGCCTCAAAAAAAACAGAGACCGCCTGTTTCTGTCTAGCTGGTGCTGGGATTAAAGGTGTGCACCATGCTTGTGGCATTCCTGCTTTTAGGGGGGTGTATTAATTGAATAACATATATTGGGACATTTCCTTGCATGTATACACTCTGATCATGTCCATTTGCTCTCAGTCTCTCCTCCTTCCCACTTCTACTGGCAAACAACCTTACTCTTTGGCTTTGATGTTATATAAAATGTTCTTAGACTATTTATACATATTTATGTTTGACAAAGTAATTTAATCTGTGTTTTTGCTTGTTTGCTTGTTTGTTCCAGACCAGTGGATATCTGGGCTTTGGGCTGTATGATCATTGAAATGGCCACAGGCAATCCCTACCTTCCTAGCAGTTCCGATTTGGATTTGCTCCACAAGATTGTTTTAAAAGTAGGTAGGTATTACTGCAATCCTCTGCCACATGTCTAAGTAGCCACTGCAGATGGGTTATGCTTGATGCCCATGCTTAGTGAATGAACAGGAAGGAAGGATCTTGTCTAGACAGCTGAGGCAGAGGGATGCCTGTGCTGATAAAGAAGGTAGAAGATTCCGTTTTGACAATAGTATTTTCTTTGCAGGAACTCAATACCACATGTTAATTGTTGGTGCTAAGAAAAGTAGTACAGGGTGTGTGCCACTGAGTTAATTAATGCTCCAACTGCAGTGCTACAGGTCTTCTAAAAGCTGCTGTTCTAGAACTAAACGTTGCCCTCTACTTACACTTCTAGTCAAGGACTTTTTTTTTTTTTTTTATAAGAGAAACTTCAGCATATCTTTCATTAACAGATTCCAGTATCATGAATACAAAAAGGTAATTTAGGAAGAGGGCTATCCCAGAAGTTTGTTATATTCCACACATAAGAGGCCCAGAGACACCAGAAAGCAATGCAATATCCCCATTAGTTACTAAATTACCTAAAATTCTACTTTCTTTTTATTTTCCATTAATTTATTTATTCACTTTACATCCTGATTGCAGCCCTCCCCCACTCTTCTCCTTGGAGAAGGGGAAGCCCCTCTTGGATACCACCCAACTCTGGGACATCAAGTCACAGCAGGACTAACTGAATCCTCTCCCACTGAGGCTCAACCAGGCAATCCAGCTAGAGGAAGGGAATCCAAAGGGGGGGGGGCAACAGAGTCAGAGACAGCTCCTGTTCCAACTGTTAGGGGACCCACATGAAGACCAAGCTGCATATTTGCTATAAGCTACACACAAGGACTTTTAATAATAAAATTGAACCAGAAGCTTTTTGAAATTATTAGAGGCCAGGCAGCAGTGGCACACACCCATAATCCCAGCACTTAGGAGGCAGAGGCAGGCAGATCACTTGTGAGTTCAAGGCCAGCCTGGTCTACAGAGTGTGTTGTAGGACAGCCAGGGCTACACAGAGAAACCCTGTCTCACAAAAAAAAATGTATTGGAGATTGAGAATCAGTTACTCAAATAACTCTCTTCTTCTTCCCCCTCTTTTTCCTCCCCTCCCCCTCTTCTTCCCTCTCCTCTTCCTTTTTGGTTTTTCAACATTATCAAGGTTATCAATTCCCCAGAGGCCTGGCTCCCAGTGGTTGACAATTAACACTGAACACCACAACTACCTTAAACATTTTGGTGGTTAGCCTTGTGAATGGTATTTCAATCTGCAGGAAGGGCTTGAGGAGCCCTAAGTGTGCTGGGGAAACTCTTCATAAACATGTAATTACAGGATTCTGACAGACGGTACTGTGAACAGTCATTAAAACAGTAAAACCCAGATTAGTACTGATTGAAGGTGATCGATGTGCCTTTTTTGTTGTTGTTTTTTTGGGTTTTTTTGAGACAGGGTTTCTCTGTGTAGCCCTGGCTGTCCGGGAACTCACTCTATAAACCAGGCTGGCCTCGAACTCAGAAATCTGCCTGCCTCTGCCTCCCAAGTGCTGGGATTAAAGGCGTGCACCACCACTGCCCAGTGATCTATGTGCCTTTCTTTCATGTTTATTTTGACTTACATGGAAGGATATTTTCTCTGCATACCACAAGTGTGCCTACCAGAAGACAGTGTCAAAGCACTGGGTTGTGAGCCATCATGTGAGTGCTAGGAGTTGAACCTGGGTCTTCTGCAAGAACAGCAAGTGCTATTAACATGTGAGCCATTTCTCCAGCCCTTTATGTGCCTTTTTAAAAGCCCTGTTCTGAGACTGTGTTAGAAGAGAGCTTAGAAGTGATGGCATTAACCCTGCCATTTTTCAGAGGAAACCAAGCCATAAAGCAGTGAAAAGATGTGCTCCATGGCACAGTATTAGTTGTGGTTTAAGGTGCTAGAGTCTCATTGTCTTCACTTGTGTTCACAGTTCTTTGCACTCTGACTGTTGTCTGGTCTCTTCTGTACCAGCTATTCTCAACCTGTGGGTCATGACCCCTTTGGGGGTTGCATATCAGATATCCTAAGAATCAAATAAAAATCAGCAAAATTATGGTTATGAAGTAGCAACAAAATAATGTTATTTTGGGGGTTCACCACAACATTAGGAACTGTATTAAAGGGTCACAGTGTTAGGATGGTTGAGAAACACTGCTTTATACACTACTTTGGTTTCTGAATTACTTTACTGTTTTATCTGTTTTATTAAGGTTTTGGTCTGGAAGACTGATGGCTACTTGACAATTAAATCATTAAGATACCAGTAAAGAAATGTGTTAATAATCCCAGAACTTGGGAGGCAGAGGCAGGTAGAACTCTGAATTTGAGATCAGCCTGGTCTACTGCAAGTTCCAAGACATCTAGGGCCACAGAGAAAAACCCCATCTCAGGCCCTGCCCCAAGTGTCAAATTTTATTGTTTTTGTTGGTAATTATATATTATGTCCTAGAGTTTGGGGGGAAGGACCATATGGTTGTATGTATTTTGCTGCCTATCAGCAGCTTACTGGAGGAAACCTCCAGTTTTAAGACTTACTAATTTTTTTAATTAGCCAGCTATTGAACCTAGGGCTTCCCACTTGCTAGGCAAGCGCTCTACTGTAGAGCGGTGTTCTCAGCCTAGAACCTCTGGTTTTATGACATATTTAGATATTTTCTTTCATCTGTAAGATAAAAACTCGTGCTCTTCCTTGTCTCCACGCTGATAACAGAGAACCACATGGGATTTTGTCTGAGAGCAACTTCGTGACTCGGACGTTTACTCTCGTTCCAGGCAACCTGACCCCACACCTGCACAGTATCTTCTCCAAGAGTCCCATCTTTGCCGGGGTGGTCCTTCCTCAAGTTCAACACCCAAAAAACGCAAGAAAGAAATACCCAAAGCTCAACGGATTGCTGGCAGATATAGTTCATGTACGTTAAGACATTAAGGCTGGCTGAGAATTTGCAGAAATCATAATACCATGGGGTCTTTTCTTCTCTTTGGTGTTAGAGATGGAACCCACAGCTAGGCAAGCATTCTACCACAGAGCCTCATTCCTAGCAATAATACAATTTAAAAATATTACTTGAAAAAGGATTCCAGAAAGACCCCTAAAGTGATGTTAATGTGTTATAAATTATTGGAAATTAATAGAGAGAAATTAAGATTTAAGATACTATGGGATAAACTGGGAACACTTGAAAGACTTTCCATGTTTCCCACCACTTTCACCATCTGGTCTACCAGGCTGTGGTTGATCTTTGTCTTGCATCATCCTAACTTTCTATAGAGGCATCTGTTGGCAGCTGTCATTTGAACGTATCAAAATTCACCTTAAGTTGGAAAAATAAAAACATTTAGTGAGGTGTGTGTGTTTGTTGGTTTGTGTGTTGTGTAAGTATAGTACTTGATAGTGTGAGTGTGTGCACATAGGTGCATCTTGCGTGCATGTGTTTTTAGAAGCCAGAAGTTGATGTGAGGTGCCCTTATTTGAGTCCCTCATGTTTTGTTGCTGTTGTTTAGTCAGAACTTTTTTCTGGGTTATAGCTCTGGGATATAGTGCATAGTGAACAGGCACAAGGTCCTGGGGTCAGTCTCCACAATAGGGAGGGAGATAGAAGGAACAGAGAGGGAGAGGGAGACAAAAGAGGGAGATCTCCCTTTCAGTGAACCTCAGTCTCCTGGCCAGTGAACTTCCACCTACCTGTCTCCTCACTGGTTACAGATAATGACCAACTAAGCCATCTCTCTGGCCCTTACATCATTACTTTACATTTTACATTGTGATTATGGTAGGTATCACATGAACACAGCACAAAATTCAAATAATGTAAGGTGCGTTTATTATGAATAGTAAATCTTATTTTATTTCTCTACTCAGCAGTTTCCTGTATTAGGAAGAGTGAAAAGACTTATTTCTAGATGAGGGTTGTATGACTGTAGTAAAGTTCTTGTTTCTAATATACAGTTGTTTCTGGGGTTTTATTTTTAGATTTATATATGTGGCTGTTTTGCCTGCATGTATGTCCGTGCACCATGTGTGTGCCTAGCGACCACAGGTGCCAGAAGAAAGTGTTGGGTCTTGAAGTTCCTGACAGTATCCATCTGCCTCTGCCTTCAGGGTACTGCGATTAAAGACTGTACTCTCAGCATCTTCTTGGCTCTTAATCACTGAGCTCTCTGGGTCCTAATGTACACTTCTAAAAAGAAATATGGCTTCTGAAATTTCAGAACAAGTATAATGAAGTATCTATACTTGTAGATACTGGTAGACATGGAAACCTGAATTCCATCTCCTAGAACCTAAGTAAAGAGCTGGGCTGTGGTGTGTGCCGGCAATCTCAGTGTTGAGGAGGTGCAGAGAGGAGGATCCCCGGCTTCCTGCCAGCTAGTCTGGCTGAAGTGCTGAGCTCCTTGTTCAGTGAAAAATAATCTCAAAAACTTAAGGTGGAAAATTATGGAGAAAAAACTCTGACATCAACTTCTGGTCTCCACACATGTAGGCTCATCTGTATGCTCACATGAGCTCGTACATACACCACACAAACATACACACTCGGTTTCACTTTATGAATGTCTATCCAAACAAGAAATGTGGCATGAAATCTTCCTGTCTTACTATTTGTAAGGACAGCCCTTCTAACCCTGTGAACACTGTCGTTCAGCAGAGTGATAGAATTGTTAGTTTATGCTGTGCATTTGGATGATAGCAGAAGCATCTATTTATATTTTCATTCTGGTCCTTCTACATACATTTTTAGGCAAGAGCCAGAAAAATGGGGTGGCAGGTCTAAATGCTTGTCGCAAGCCTGGCAGCCTTAATTTCTTCCCAGGAACCCACATTAAGGTGGGAAGAGAGAACCAACTCCACTATGTGGTCTTCTAAATTCCACACATGTGCTGAGGCAAGCCCCCTCACCAGTGATAAATAATACTGAACATTTGAAAGATGTCAAACATATGATTAACATCTCAGGATCACAATGCACATGACGGGAGCTGTAAAGAAGTACTGGGAAAAGGGCTTCTCTCGGGAAGAATGCACTTTATCAAGCAGACACCTTTTCTTCAAATTCTGTCTTCATTGTTCTAAAGAATGGATTCTCTATAATGACAGTTACAGATGGACCGTTATCTGCAGCTTCCTGTTCACAACCTGTCCCATGAGTTGGCTTTGGTTTTTGGTAGTTTCCTTAGTTAAACCATTCCCAGTACAGAGAAACAGAAAAGAGTTGTTCATTGATTTATTTTATTTTATTATTCTATTCTATTCTATTCTATTCTATTCTATTCTATTCTATTCTA